TTAATTAGTAAGTTATTTTGTTCATCCTAAACCATTGTACATGAAAATGTATCGTATATATGTAGTGCATTACAAAACCTATAACAACTTGAAAATAATACAATTAATAGTGTTTCCACAGGTTTCTCCCTGCCAATTTCCACAAGACTGTTGTGCTAAAACTATTTCATTTTTTTAAAAATGAAAATAAACATATTACTTCATGACTCTTTCAGACAACAAATTTTTATATAAAGCTGATAAACTTTATCACCCTAAAAAACATCAGTAATAAAATATTATAAAACATTTTGGCTCTAGGTCTACTTCATATACAAGTTAATTGAATATTCCTTTCATTTTTGAAAATAAAATTATTTTTCAAAGTGTGCAGAAACCTGTATGTTATATTTGAGGAATAATACTTATGCTTGTAAAAAAAAATGTCAACACTTGCTAGATGGAGTGCTTAGTTAAACATTTTTCAAACATATGATTCGTGAATATTTCAAATTATGTCGAATGTTATTAGAGATCCATACTTTGAGAAACTTACTCAAAACAGGGCAATCCATGATGTTGTAAAGGGGGGGGGGAGGTCCAGCTAGACCTCTACTAGCACTATTCATAAATGTATATTGCATTTGATTTTTACATACCACTAATACTGTACCTACTATGACAACATCAAAGTACACAGTTATTAATTTCTGTAACACGTCCCCACCCCATTGATCTGCATCTGGTCTTACAATATTAAAGAATAAACTTGTTACTTATAAATCAAAAACATGACACTGTGTAAAAAACAGTAAATTTACACTTTATTTAATACTCGAATAGCCAGAGAATTGGTGGTGGGTGTTACCAAACAGTTGCCTTTCCTCTTTTCAGAAAGACAATAATAGTAAACTTATTGGGAATCATTATCAAACCCTCAAATCACAAAGCATCTGCTCATTATATAGTTTTGCATTTAACAATAATTGATCTGCATCTGGTCTTACAATATTAAAGAATAAACTTGTTACTTATAAATCAAAAACATGACACTATGTAAAAAACAGTAAATTTACACTTTATTTAATGCTTGAATAGCCAGAGAATTGGTGGTGGGTGTTACCAAACAGTTGCCTTCCCTCTTTTCAGAAAGACAATAATAGTAAACTTATTGGGAATCATTATCAAACCCTCAAATCACAAAGCATCTGCTCATTATATAGTTTTGCATTTAACAATAAACATAATGGCAATATTTCGAATACTTGGATATTCAAAATATTTGAAAACCCTAATTTTGATTAGTGGATTTTTTTCATAACAATTGATGTAATTGTAAATTTAATTTATGGGTTGTTGGAAATAATTGAAAACAGTAATAATCAGGAACACCAATTTAATTTATTTGATTGTTTTCATTACATTACATTCATTGAATTGATTAGTTTATGGAGCATTAATCAAAACAGTTGTTGCTCATATGTAATTGAATAAATCACCCAGCTCTACTGTGGATTATGAAATATATTGTTTGGTATCATAGAACGTGGTATTTTTAATGTTGTTATTTCATGTTTTAGGTAAAACACAAAACATAAATCATTATTGTTTCATTAAGTGGATTTGTCAGAAAGAATTCCAGTAAAATGTGTGAATTTATTTATATATGTGTCAGTGTCTAGTGTATTGTTTTATTCATGAAGGTTTTGAAGGTAGTTGGGTCAGTTACTTGGTAAATTTTGAAAAGTTTACAAATATGTAATCCCATTGTAAAAGCTAGGCCCCAGTTGTGCAATAAATCAACTGGTACCTTGCAAACAGTTGCTTTTCTTGCCCTTCTCAAAAGTGCAATGTGTGACACCATCCATTAAGTTATTTCAAAACTGCATTTTTTCTTTGGTTTATTTTCAACTCAAGTTATCACTCAAATTTTTTTTTTGTATAACAGTTGATGCATAAATGACAAGAAGGGTTAAGCATTCAATTGAATCCCTTTTTATTTGTTATAATAAAAGATGGTTTCATGTACAACTCTGGGATTAGCTAGGGTGTAGTAGTTTGAATTTATGTAATCTTTCAGTTTTTAAAGCAGTATAATAGCAACATTAGGTGAAAAATATAAGTTTTGGTTTTGATATATAAATTACATGTGGATAATATGATTTTCTGCCTTTCCTAGTTTTTTAGTATTTACAACAACAAACACTAATTCAACTTAATTGCTATTATTGGTAGCTCAATAAAAGAAGCAGGATACATTGTTGTGTCCAACTTGTTTATATGTAATTAGCTAAAATGTTTGTTAGTTGACAAAAAGCTGTACTGATCAACCAGGAATGTTGAATGTTAATAAAGAATATAATCTATAGCAATCATGATCATATTAACTATGAGATATTTTTTAACAATCTGTTGTATCTCTGGTGAGCAGTACATCATCTTTATCATGTAGTAAGGTTTGCGGTCTTTTAGGATCTAGGATTTGTACATATAGGTTTATGACATGAAGGAAAGACCACTGTACCAATGAACATAGCAGAATTAATATTAGAATAGAAATAACAGTGTAAAGAACCATTTTTAATAATAAACATGAATAAGAATCACAAAGTGTTTAAGAAAAGGAAGTGCCATTTCTGACAATACCTTTGTTGATAGTTACCTCTCTGACTCCCACCCTGGTCTCATATATGGTTAATATAAAAGTTCATAAAAACAATACTGCCTCAGGCCTATTATATTCAGCATTGGATCACACATCCAAATCTAAGTTTCAAGTTCCTTTTATAGGATCACTACAGTGAACATGTTAGTTAAAGATTCTTTCTGTTTTACTAAAAATTGCTGGACAGTATATAACATCTAGCTATATATAACATTGAATCTTTATTTGTTAATATTCCACTTGTAGACACAATTCAAAATGTTCTGAACAGTGCTATCCTTAATGAAGTCAAACTACGCTTTCGTTTTAACCACCACCAAGTTGAACAGCTACTTAACTTGCCATAGTGATGGATGTCATTTCAGATATATTTCTTTATTCCCATTAGTGTCTCTTGTTAGGTACTTGTCCATTCTGCTTATACTTTAGATATGTAGTTGATATTTTCTTACTCTTTTGCAGTATTGAACATAGATAAAAAAAAAAAAATCTATATCATTTAAACTCTAAACATTTCAGTTTTAAATTTTCCTGTGAAAGTGAAGAAAAAGGAAAATCATCCTTTATAGATGCTCATGTCAGCAGTCTAAAGTACGAATTTACAATATCTATCTTGCAAGAAAGCATATGCAGGCTTACACATTTGGTTTAATAGCTTCAAATGTGTTAAACATTCTTAACAGAGTGTGCTACATTTATCCTATCTCTATACGTTCTGAAATAACCTCTTTACAAAACACACTGAAAATAATGGTTATCCTTTAAAGTTAATGTTCTTCAAACTATAACATAAATTTCTGTCAAATGAAGTAGAACCTGCTTTGAAACCACGTATCACTTCAAACTATCTGCTATTATTGAATGTTATTTGTTATGGTTTGAAGAACCTGTAATATCATATTGCTCACTCCTTCTATAAGCAAACAGAACACTCTTCTTTGGTCCCAGGTTAAAAAAAAATCAAAACTTATTATCCACACCCCACCGGTTAAAATACAAATGGTTATCAAATTATTCATCAGAATTCAGAATGTATTTAGAACCAAAGAAATACCTTTTGCCCAATCTTCATGGACTGTTTATAAATACAACCATGAACATTGAACATGAGGTTTTTAAGTAACAAGAATTAATCTTTCTTTGTAAACAGTTTCAAAAATACTTATCTTCGTATGGTCCAAAAATGAACTCATAATAAAACAAATTTATCAACTACAAATTTATCTCATAAACCAAAATAGTAACCAAAGTTTCTTTCAGCTGTCTTTATTTTCACTTAAAATATTCTGTTCCACCAATTCATTAGGAGTTATACATCTATTTGTCCTAAATTACAAATCTTAACATATATTCAGTTTATGTAAATAGCTTTTTGTATCACATTTATTTCCATTATAGCTCAGTGATAATGAAATTTGTAAATTTCAAAAAAGTTCAATTGTATAAATATTTATTAAAATAGCTGTGGTGTTTCTGTTTATTATCAAGAACTGTTTTTCTTAATTACATTTTTATATTTAATGTTTTTTGTGATACGTTACGTATCAATAGGTAGACATTTTTACTTGTGGCTGAATTTAGAAAATTTTGCATACCTAAAGTAGTTATTTACCTATAGAAATTTTAAGGACTGCACACTATTATCTTAATAAGAAAAACTGAGACTTGTGGCAATGGAGATATGGTACAGTTTTAGCTTGGCTAAATCATTTTTCTGGTAAGAAAGGTCAGAAATTTGAATCATTTTAAGTCTCAGTTTCCATTTCTTTAGAAAAATTCCTTACCTCCATACATATACACTATATATTGTCTTCATAAAACATATAAACAAAGACTGCAAGATCAACAAAATATAAGGTTAAATCAAATCAGTATTAATTAAAAACTTTCAAGTATATAGTGAAACAGCTCTTCCATCTCATGTTCTAGCTGGGTCATACATGTAATTAAACTATATAAACTTGCATGTACCTTTTATTTTTTTACAAATGTGTATTACGCTGAAAAGTTCTGTATTAATAGTATGTTAAAGTAGTTCTGTAATTTCATCAGTATAGAGTTTAGCTCCACAGTTCATTTGTTCACTTATGAAAACTAATTTAGACCACCAGAACTTGTCTTATCTTGCTTAATATGGTTTATTATCTTGAATAACCAGTTTGGAAGCAAGTGACTTTTGAGTGATTTCAAATCCTCAAAATAACCATATAGACATAATGGATATAAAATTAGGATTGTCTTCTTTTTCTTTTCCAATCATAAGGTAATATTTAAAAGTTCACAACTCCAAAATTTAACTGCTCAATACTGTCACTCTTTAGGACATTATGAACAGTGTTGTATGTATGCATTCTAGGTCCACGTCGGTTGGAGGGATTAAAAGCAGGAGATGTTCTTAGTTTTCTACAGGAGAAGATTGTTATCTTGTCAGGTAAATTGCTTATGATCCAAAACTCGCTCTACAAGTACAAGTTTTGTAGAAAATACATTTCCATAAAAATATCATCTATTCGATACATTTGTTATATAAGAAGACATTGTTTCTGTAACTGTTATATATACCCTTTTGTTAGGCTTCTATCATGAAATACATTTCAACGAAAAATAAAAAAAATGTTTAAACTCATAATGAAATACTAATGTCACATTATATTTCTTATCCAAATATTCTCTCTTTTATTTTGGCATAACTATCATGAAATATATTTTGTAATTTGTGTTGAGTCCAACTATATTTAAAACAATTTATATCAACATAATTTTTTCTAACCGAGTAATGTGGTGATTTTAGTGTCACTTTTTCACAGTGTTCTGAGGAATTCCATGTTGAGAACACCCAAAGAAGTTTTAATTTTTTTTCAGCATATTTTAAGTGTAGTAATAGAAAACTGAGGCTTGGGTAAAATTCCTCTTGTTTGTAGAAACAAAATTCCAGAAACAAAGTTTTGTATATGTATACACACATTTATTTAAGTTCTCTAAATATTCATTTTTTTTCATAATTTTCTTTAAATTTCTAACAGCTGTAGTTAGATAATTAATTCAAGTAACTTAATATTACATTATCTGTTGATTTACTATAGCCTCTTTTGTTACATTAACAGAGTTTATGGCATTACTACAAGTAGAATGGGATTTAAGAAATAGCATGATATGATAACATACTATATGTTTTCCACCCCATTAGTTTAAAATAAAACTTTCAAAATTATGATGTTTTACATATTTCTCTGGTTGGAACACAATGGTGTTCAATTAAGTTATTAAATTTCAATTTGTTTGGCTTTGATGTATAGCCTTTTATTCACCACAAATAACTTAAAGAACTTTATGTATTTCAATAGCATGACATACCATCATAATTAGTTGTTTGTTATTATTCAGTGGATTAACTGGTTAGTTATTTAGTTGTTAATTTTTTCTTCACCAAAATATGAATTTAAGTGAAGAAAAAGTGATGTAGAGGCCTAATCTATTCTCTGGTTCGCTACTTCCACAGCAGCAGACTAGTTTTGGTGAATTCACAACTTATTTTGGAAGAGGGAACCTAATAAATAAAGTAGGCCTTGTACAGTGGTGGAATTTAAGCAGTTTGTTTGGTTTTGATGTATAGTTTTCTACTCACCACTAATAACCTAAAATACTATAGGTGTTTGGATAACATGTGACATACCATTAATTATCCATTATTATTCATCAGGCTAACTGGGTATTTATTTAGTTATTTCTTTCTTTTCTTCACCAAAACATGAATTTTAATGAAAAAAAAATTGGGATAGGAGGTATACAATAAAATTCTTGAAATTGTTTTCACTAATTAAGGACATTTTGTAACCATAGATCTCATAAAGCATTATACTCTTAACATTAATGTTTAGTATATAATGTTAATTATAAAGCTTCCTCTTTAAAAAGTCTAAAAGTGTTTTGTTACACTTTATGACTTAGCAAGACTTTTTTTATTTAAATTCTTGTCAGATCTTGTTCAGCTAATTTCATAAAAAAGGAAAAGAAAACATTACAACCAACTTTTGTGTGTTACTGATCTAATTCATTATCTGCTATTACATTATCATGTTCCTTTATTAGTCAGAACTCACAAAAAAATGGTTGTCACAATGAATATAAATTCCAGCATGCATCAGTCTGCAAACACACAAAAAAGAGTAGGATAGGCGAAGGTTTATGAATAAACTTAGTTAATATTCCATATCTTTTAAGATTCCATTTGTAAAAGAATTGTTAGTAACTTGCCTTAGTGGAGACTGATTTTTACAAGTATTGCATCAATATTTCATCATTTAATCAGTTTATCCTTAATTGCTCTAATCAATGCAATTATAAACAGTTGTATATAGTACATGTCTAAATATTTCATGAAATGAACTGTTTGTTAACTGGTCTGTAATTTTGATCTCTAGAACAGTTCAAGTAGCTAAAGATAGCAAAGTCCAGTATTTACTGATTATTCTAACAGTAAATAATGCAAATATTGAGTTCTCCAAAATGGCCTAGAACATACCACATCATGTAGACCCTGCTGGTTTTTGGCGGTCTAGACAATCCCTGGGCCTCCAGCCTTTATGAGCTGGGATACAGGACTCTTCTTATCCTTGTATTTTCTAATTTCATTTGTGTTAAATAATAAATTTATTTTTGTATGTTAATGTTGAACACACAAAAGGTATTGTACATGGTATTTTTTTTTATAAAACCAATATTTTGTTAATTACAACATGAGTTACTTAATAAATCAGTCTATGAAAGTCAAAGATCCATCTTTATATGATTGCAGGTGGAAGAGACAGGAGAGGAGGGCCTGTTCTAACCTTTCCTGCTAGAAATCTTCCAGAGAGACTAAAAACTGAAGACCTAAGACGACTGTTGACATATCTAGCAAGCATACCCAGGTAACTTTGTTGATACAGTTAATGGTTTTGATATTGCAAAACATCAACTGATTTTGTATTAGATTTTGTACCATGAGAGAGAGTTTTTTTACCATTTATGGCATTGATAAAATTTTAATTTATGACTGAGATTTGCATCTTTTATTTTGTAACAAATGTATACATATTTGTTGAAGCATACATACTGTTTGGGTAATCTGTTACAAACATTCAGATAGCCTGTCTACATCATTATGGCACATAAAGAGTATTGCTTTGGGCAGCCATCAGATATTTTAGTTGCTTTTTCTGATGAGGTTACTAACTTTTGTTTCAGTGATGATGTGAAGGAAGTTGGATTCTCTGTTGTGATTGACATGCGAGGTGCCACATGGAACACTGTTAAACCAATTCTGAAAGTGCTACAGGTATAGCTGAAACTTTTCAACTTCATTTCTTGATTTTTCACAAATATAATGAACTGCTTAAATAAGACACAAACAACGTTCATTTGTATTTTAGTTGCTTAAGTACTACTCAACTGTAAACATCAGAGTTGTCAATTATATGACCTTTAAGATGTGAAAGTTTTGCTGTTCTGTTCAAAAATATCATTTCATACCTATTTCTTATGCTTGCCTTCCAGTAGTGATTTACATACTATTATTCATCAATACTGTAACCTTAGTTTTACTAGTTATTGTGTTCTTCAATAATGATCTAGATCCAATTAAAAAGGTAAACATTTACTATATTGTTGATTTTATTTCATAATAATTAAAAACTATGATTGTATTTAATTTTTGTGTTAATAAGAAACTTGTGTTATTTGTGCTGTTTCACATGCTTTGTTTCACAGAAGTTAAAATTAATTGTAAATATAATTTTTTTTTGTGTAATATGCAGTTCTAGGGTGAAATTCCCATAGTAATTTCAAATCTAATCTTATACAAAAGCAATTCAAAGTTTTTGTTATTCTTGTTTGCATGATTTAGTTTTCAGTTACAAGTAATTGCTTTTTGCAAAACAGTGTAGAGACTGTACAGTTATTTTGTTTTTAATATTTTAATTAAAATTCTATGTTACTTATTGATGACCTCACAGGAAAGTTTTCCAGCCAAAATCCACACAGCGTACATTATCAAACCAGAAAACTTCTGGCAAAAACAGAGAACCAGTTTAGGAAGCTCAAAATACAAGTTTGAGGTGAGTGGTAATGCTTGTGTGGAGAAGTAGTTTACAAGATGACTTGTCAAGTAATTATGCTGGAACTCTGTAGTAATGGTAATACAGCCTTTGTTTTTAACTTCTCCAGTGTGTTCCTGTATTCTTTTATAATGCGCCACAAAACTTATTTTGTAGTGTAGCAATGAGTATTGTTATTGGGATGCATTTTAATGTTCAATTTTGCATCTGCATAAAAAAAAACTGTCCTAACAATAAGTAGCATTTTTAAGCAATGATGAGTATTCATATAAAAGATTTTATTGACTTAAAATTTTCATGAGGTTTTACTCATAGCTAGTTTTGATATCACACAATAAAGACTAAAATCCTTGTACTCAGACTTAATCACATTGTAGACATGTGGTAGTTGTCTTTTTAATTACATAATTGATGTTAAAATGTAATATATATATATATATATCTAATCAGCATGAATTTGTAACTTGATTTACTTAAGTATTTAACCAAACTGTTATAACTAACATATTTTATTATTTTCTGATTTAACAGACCAGTATGATATCATTAGAAACCTTATCAAAGTATATTGACCAGTCACAGTTGACTGCTGATCTAGATGGTACACTACCCTATGACCACAACCAGTGGATTGAATTGAGACTGGTAAGTAGTAAATAAGGAATGATTAATCCAAAACATGTAAGGTCAGTAAGGGGTGGTGGTGATGATGTGTTTGCAACTTGTCAGGTTAGGAAATAAAACTAGTTAATTTCAGACATGAAAGTATTAAGGGGAAGTGGTATAGTTGTAGAGTGCAAGACTGACAAGGGCAGTGACTGTTTGCTATTTATAAAATTGGATTTATGGAGTTATCTCACTTATAGTATAGTAAATCAACAGAGATGTGTTTACAGGAGATTTAATTGGTAGTTAGGGTTTTTTATAGTTACAGTGTTTAAAACTGGTAAGTAAGGACTGGACAGTTGACCACTTGTTAGGTTAATAAATGTAAGGAGGGATATTTTTTAACATACAATTAGGAAACAATATATTTAATGATGTAAAACTTGTAAATGGCATTGATATATTTACAACATTCAGGGCAAGTAAATAAAAACAAATTTAGATTTGTAAAGCTGAGTGGAAAGTGATTTATTTTGCAGGTAAGATCTTTAAGATCTAGGGTCCATAAGTAAGAGTGGCATTCTTATATTGAACATCTAAGGAATGATTTATATACAAACATGTTAACCCTTTTGCAACAGTCTCGGTATAATATACACGAGTTACGTATATATACTATAACTTTTAATGTAGTAAGTGTATCTTCACAAAATTTGGTAGACTTTTAGTAAGGATCACAAGTCTTTCTTACACAAAAAAATAAGATTTGTTAATGAAGTACTTTTATTATAGATTTGTTTGTGAAAGTATTGAATCTGTTTTGTCACCAGTCCAAGTATGAAGTGATTTTCACGTTAAAACTGAAAAACTATTGTTCATCCCCAAAATCTAAAATATTATTTGTGTAATCTCTAAAACCTCCTAAATACATTTCAAATGTTTGTTTTCAGTAAAACTTTATTTTTTCTGTTATTTTCTTTAATCTAACTCTATGGGGTCTGTCAATTTGACCAGCCTCGTAACCACCATAAAAAATTAGGAAATATATTTCAATTATGCTTTTTGTCATTCTAAAATGACTACAGATTATAACACAAAAACACAAATGTTTAGTCTAAATAGCTTAAATCTCATAATATTATACATTTATATATATTTATTATTTTTATTATATTGACGTTTCAGCTGTGCTTTGCTAACAATACAGAAATTACAATAATATAAACTGGCTTTCACAAAGTGACTTGTCTTGGCTGTGTTTTTGTGGAATAGTACTTTGAAAATACAGTCACATTTCAATTATTATACATTATATATGTATATACATTAATACTATTTAAAAATAAGTTCTTAAATTTATTTTTTTTTAAACATAGAACAGTAAATAACGAAGTATAGCAAACAATTATCTCTTCTAGTTATGGTTACGACCTTTGTACTTGTTTGCTGCTTGTCATAACTTGCTAAGCCTTATGAAATTTCCCACATGGAGGATGTGAAAATAATTTTTTTTTTAAGGTTTTATATATATATACATTTTAAATAAACAAAAAAAAATCATAAATTACTATATCAATACCATAGAATTCCACTATAATTTATCAAGCTTAGTAACTAAGCTGTATTTGGGTTTAAAAATAATATGAAATTTCAAGCTCACTAAAGACTTACCTTATCGTTTGAAATCTTGTGTGAAAAGAACAAGATTAATACTATAACACTTCAAGATGGCTGATAAAACCACTAGGGGGACATTCTGAGCTTTTGATCGGTTATTCATGCCATACATAAAGTGTATATAAGGGATCATTTCCAAAAATGGAAAGAGTTGGGCAGGGGGGGCCACTGTGTTTGATTCAGTATATGAGTGATATCTTAGCAAATAGAAAAAAGGTTCTTTTTTTGTATTCTAGCTTGTCAATATCGGAAGTTTGAGTTCCTAAATCGTACAAAACTATAGACTGTATTTTGACACCACAAACATTAATTTGAACCAGTGCTGCATTCAACATACCACGTGACACACAAAAATCAGTATTTAGGTGTTTTAAATTAAGAAATTAACTAATGTATAAGACTAAATTTGAATTATAATCTACAATTTAATACCAAACTTATTGATATAAATTCATAAAATGGTAGTTCAATAAAATCTGAATGCAAGTAAACAAATGTGATGACATGGCCTTTGACACATGACCTGTTGCGATAGAGTTAATACATAGAAATTATTTGGTTGAAATAGATTAGTAAATACAAGTGTTTACATTTTTATCACAAGTATGTATTTTTACTTTCTAGGCTGTAGAAGGCTTTATGTCTAAAACTTTGGATGTAATGGAACGAATGGATCGGATCAAGGAGGATCTGTTGAGGAATGACTTTGCTGAAGATATCAATGGAGCCAAAAGAATGGTAGAAGACCACAATAGTATAAAAAAAGTTGTACAAACTCCTCTAGAAAACATTGATTATGAAGGCCAGCAAGTGTTACACAGGTAATCATCTCATTGTAGTTCTAGCTTAAAATTAGGTGCAGTGAATAAACCTACATAACAATAAGCAATAAAGATCCCTTAAAAATTTACATATTGATTAAAAAGCTAATCTTAGAGTTTGTTAGTGTAGAATATGTTTTTACCAACATCTTCGTTATAAAAAAATTCCCTTGTAAGAGAGTATTCAGCTGATAAGTAAGCAACATAAGTAATGTATTAGTGGTGAAAGGATTATTCTCTGTATATTAGTTCAATATCATGATCTTACAGGTTGTTTAACAGATAGTTGCTGGTCAGTTAAGATTCTTGACTGTTCATATTTATTCATTAGGCAGTTATGGATCACCTCATTAACTTATTCTTTTAATTAAGCATACAGTTCATCAGAACTTGACCCATTTTGTTTATAAACTTGATAATTGGTGTATTAATTATTATGAATTACATAATAAACTGATAACTTAGACAAGCCAACCACGCACATTTATGTATAAAACCTGAAAAACGTCCTTGTTACTTTTCAACTATAATTGATGAAATGGAAAAAAAGTGTATTTAACAAACTTGTGTTTCTCTTTACTGGGTTTAGGAAATATTATATTTAGAGAGTACAATAAATTATTTTCTAAAAGCCTCATAACGTAGTCTACAAATGTTCATGAAATTTTGAATTGTAGCATTTGCTGAATAGCAAATATCAGAAAACATACTTAAGGTTTTTCATAGGGCTGTTGCTGAAAAATAGAGATAGTGAGATTGTTGATTGAACATTTTTGTTAACGTATAAATTAAGCTTTAATGGTTAACCCTTTCAACACTGGTCAAAGGCCATATCATCACTTTTGTTGACTTACATTCAAAATTTTATTGAACTTCTATTTTATGAATTTATGTCGGTAAGTTTGGTATGAAACTGTAGATTATAATTCAAATTTTTAGTATTATACATTATTTAGTTTCTTAATTTAAAAGTAAATATTAAAAATACACACCTAAACATCAATTTTTATGTGTCCAGTGGTATGTTAAGTGCAGTATTGGTTCAGATTAGATGTTTGTGAAGTCAGTATATTAAGTCTATAGTTTCATAGTCTATAGTTTCAGCTAGGATGTAAATTTAGAGCCTCCCATCTTTTCTATTTGCTGAGATATTGCTCATGTACTGAATCAAAAACAGTGGCCCCGCTCGCATCTTTCCATTTTTGGAAATGCTACCTGATATACATTTATTTCTGTCTATGAAATGTGAATAACCAATTAAAAGCTCAGAATGCCCCTCTAGTGGCTTTCTCAGTCAATTTCAAGTATTACAACATCATGTTTTTTTGATACAAATCTTCATGCTTGTAAGGTGAGTCTTAAGTCTGTTCGAAATTTCATATTTTTCAGACCCAAATACAGCTTAGTTACTAAGCTTGATGAATTATAGTGGAATTCTATGGTATTGGTATAATAATTTATGATATTTTGGTTATTTCAAGTATTATATATATATCTGATTATGTTTCAATAATTAGATATTGAAGATAAAAATAAACAAGTTGGTTATTTCAAATATACATATATATAAAACCTATTTTGTTTCACATCCTTCAAGTGCGAAATTTTATGAGGCTTAGCAGCCTACCACAAGCAGCAACCCGAGTACAAAGGTCGTACCTATAAGTGATAATTGTTTGCTTTATTTCTTTATTTAATGTTCTATGTTTTAAGAAAAATAAGTTTAAGAACTTGTTTGTAAATAGTAATAATATTTATACCAATATTATGTATAATAATTGAAATGTGACTGTATTTTACAAAGTACTAGTCTACTAAAAGACAACCAAGACAGGTCACTTTCTGAAGACTAGAGGTGAGGTTTATATTATTGGATATGGTAACATGAGTGCACATGTTCCACGTCATTCTAACTTCTGTATTGTTAATGTTAGCCAGCCACGGCTGAAAGGTCAATATACTAAATATATATATAAATGAATAATGTTATGATATTTGACCTATTTAGTTTAAACATTTGTGTTTTCTTGTTATAAACTATAGTCATTCTAGGACATTTTGTGGTTACTAGATCAGTTAAATTGACTGAACCTGTACAGAGATTCGTTAGTGAAAATATTAGATGAAATATAGTTTTTCTTAAGGAAAATTTGATAACTATTCAGATGTTATAAAGATTTTCTGGTGCATAAAAGTATTTTTAATCTTAAAATGAAAATTACTTTTCATGTTAGATAGGGAACATGCAAAAAGAAAAAAGGTACAAGAAAAACATTGCTTAACAAATCTTAAGACTTAATAAAAAAATCTGATATCTTGTGTATGAAAGCCTTGTAATGTTTACTGGTAAACTGCCAAATTTCGTTAACATTTGCTTACTAATTTAAAAGTTATAGCATGAAAACTGTAACAAGCACAAAATGGTTACGAGGTTGGTCCCAGGGACCAAGCCCGTGCTGAAAGAGTTAAGTGTCATTGACAGTCAACAGCAAAAAGAAGACACGGATAAGTACTTTATTTCTTGTTTTTCATGTTTATTCTTTATTTATTATTATAATAGTTACTAAAATATAAAAATAGGGATCTCTTGAGGTAAGTTAAGGTTAGATAAAAAAAAAATAATATAATAAAAATATTTCACAAGGCAAGCACACGAGCAGTTCAGGTAATTTAATTCAACAGCGTAATGTGAGCTGCACATTCCCCGAGTGATTTGCAACTTTTAATGGCACAAATAGTAGTTATACATGGTTAAAAGGGCAGTAAAACAATAAACTTTAATTATAAATATATATATTCTGTTATGAGTTTAAAGCTACTTAGAATAAATGAAGGCAGTTTCATGTTATATTTGAAGTCATTCTAGAAAGAAAAGGTGTGTAATTTAGATTTATCTATTTATTTTTGGTCAAATTGACCAACCTTGTATAGAGTTAGGGTAGAGAAAATAACAGATAAAATATAAAATTTTACTGAAAACAAACATTTGAAATATATCTAGGAGGTTTTTTTTATCTTAACATGAAAATCACTTTGCATACGGACTATTCAAAACAAATACTCTATATATTGCTCCTATGTCCTCATCACTGTTGTGGGATGATTCCCAACAACTTGCGGCTTAATTCAAGGTCTGCTGTTGCAGCTGTGCATGCTGTTTTCTGTCCATACTTGCCCAACTTTTTTTCTCAGCCATTGATTCCTTTAAAGAAAGAACCATATCTACCTGGCCCATGAAACCATGACTACTTCTTTCCCTCTGAACAAGAAGAAAATCTTTATCTTCTGGGACCTTGATTGGGGTCTGGTCATTTCTATGAGTGATGTAAAAAAATCTATCTATTTGAAGGTTATTTTCTTTCTGTTAGTTCAGTTTCTTCTGAACCAAGTAGTCAAATTGTAGTCTTACTTTTTGTTGAAGTATCCATTTGTGAAGCATTTTGGATAAAGCTTGTTTTATGTTAAAAAATATATATGTGTAGACATATACACACACAAAGACATACGGTACTCCTTATGTTTGATATCTTAATTTACAGCACTTTTGCCCCCTCATTTTGTTCCAATATATATAAACAAGTAAATCACACCAAATTAGATTATTCTGGAATGTGCTAGCATATTATTGTGGAATATTCTACATATTCTAGAATATTCCAAAGTAGTCCATGTTATTCAGAATGTTCAAGAACAATCTGTACACAAGTGTGGAACATTCTGTATGATATGTCAGTAGTTTCTATACTTTCTGTGAGGGTATATAAGCATTTAAGCAGATTCTTCTGATATGCTGATAGTGTTAACTGAAATGATAGTCATATGGGAATTGTTAACAAATGGTATAATGTTGTACAAGTGAAGTCTATGCTGTTTGTGGAAACATTATTTATAGTTGATATAATTGTTTCACAACAGGTCATTCTTGAAAATGTTCACCAATTAACGTATATATATAGTACAGGCAAAGCTGCTACTCTGGAGGAAATTTTAATTGTCAGCATCTTAGGTTAATCTGTTTCACTAGTGAAAATTTTAGTGTTATTTTTGTGTCACAGTTGGAAGCTTTAAGAGTGGATATCTGTGTTCCAGATTAAGTTATGTCACTGGTGGAAGTAGTGGAGGATCATCTGACTCTGGTTATTCAAGTCGGGACAGTGCACCTCCCACTGTGGCTGGAAATACAGACTTCCAGTGTGCTATCTCACACATAATGAGAATGCTGGACAATGTTCATGTGAATCAAAGACACATAGGCCAGCTATGGCATGTCCGGAAAGCCAAACTTGAACAGTGTTATCAGTTGCGTTTATTTGAACAAGATGCTCAGAAGGTTCGGTGATTTTCTTTTTCAGTTTTTAAGTGATCACAGTTTAGTAGTTTTTTTTTCTTGTTATTCCTGTTTTTAATTATTAAAACATTGATTTTAAGCTAGAAATACCTTTGTTTGTAAAGATATCCAGACAATATTTAAACTGTATACTTAAATAAATGCATTTCAGTACAAGTATTTCGTACATAAGATTCTTTAGTTCACCTGCAAAAATTATGTTAAAAAATAATTTCTATAAGAGAATTACCTTTAAGAATTTAAATGGAGTAGAAAGTCCTGCTCAACAAAATTCCTCAAAATTTAATAATTAAAGTACTTTGAAAGAAGTAAAGAAAATGGAGTCAAAGGTTATATTGAAACTATACTTTAAAGAAATTTATGGTCTCAACTTTTGATAAGATCATTAATTACTATAAAGGTTTATTTACATTTATTTTTCTGACCATTGCAGAGATATATAAAATGTTTTACACATATGGATCAGTTGAACAATTTGTATTAGATTATATTAGATTACATGTTTGTGTTTGTTAAATACAAGAGTGGTTAGTCATTTTTTTAGATAAAAATACACTTGCTTTTGAACACTATGATACTAAAAATTAAACATGTTTTCAAATACATTGTACTACATGTTAGAGTATAAAGGGGATTTTCAGGATGAGATTTTTGGAGTGTTATATCTGCAGGTGTTCATATGATAAAAACAATGTCAAAAATTAAAGAAGTTTTTACATTTGATATTTTTAAATGGATAATGTAATTAAGTTTTGAAATTTGATTTTTTTTTTACAAAGGTGAGGTAACAAAATTATCTTTTTTGTATTATTTTTATATACAGATGTACGACTGGATATTCCATAACCGAGACCATTTTCTAATCAGTTATGTGGAGATTGGTTGCTCTTTTCAAGAATCCAAAGATTTGCAAGAAGAGCATAATATTTTTGCAATGGCATCAATGGTAAGATGTATTTTATCTTTTTACAGTGGTATCAGTGGTAATATATACTTTTGTTTTTTGTATCTTGGACATAAGAATTTTTCCTCATACACACCCTATAACAACAACAAAGTGTTTTTGTTTAAGGTGTCTGTATGAAAAATGTTTGTTTTTTATGTGCTGTAATTTCCTTAATGTTGTTTTTCTATTTTATTAATTGTTTGAACCACTGTGGCAAACTATTACCAATGTTAGAAACAATCATTAGCAAATAGATATGTTAGATAGTAAGCAATCACTCTTGTATTGTGACCTGCTAAATGTCCAACAATAGTACATGAGCCTGTCATATTTTCAGGTAAAACCAATTTCTGATGAGTGTTGGATAGATAATCCAACTAATAACAGGTTTGATCAAGAAATAAGGGGACTGTTCTGTATTTGATAACTGAGTTTCTTTAAGTGTGAAATAATAAGACTGGATAAATGTAAACAAATGAAAAACTATTTTAACAATACTACAGAAGATCGTACTTAAAGATTGTTTAGTTCAACTAAAGTCAATTCTGTTAGAAAAAAGCTGTTGAGCTAAACTTAATTTTCTACATGATTTCCTAGTGGAATTGAACCAGTAAGGTGTGCCTGAATTCAACAGGTTAACTGTTTCTTTGTCCAGTTGGCAATTTCACGATGTGACCTTTGTTCTCTCACAGCTCTGGCAATCTGTTCTATTTAAACAAGTCAAACTCTGACAACAAAAGATACTATAGTGTTGATTCTTTCAGCCTGAAATGCTAAACATTACCCAATCCAACCTTGTCTAAAGTAATAAGTTTCCAATTTTTATATCTTAGTTACTTCTGTGACAATAAATAAAAAATATACATCAGAAATAAGAAGTATAGTACTTACTTTTGGCCTCTTGTTTGTTTGCTGTTGGTTGCTGATAATTTTTAGGGCTACTTTTTTAATACTAATGATATTAGTACACTAAATAATTTTTCTATACTTAATGCACCTAAGAACACAGAATAATAACATTCACGAAATAAACAATGTCTTGTAATTATTATTATTTAACTGGTTTATAATTATGACTTAAGAGCCTTAAATAATTCCATAAACATCTTGATCTGAACACTGCAAGACACTTTCAAACTGAAGACGAATCAGACAGTGTTCTGTACTGAAAATGATGCAATGCAATATGTTACTTGATAGATTAAAACTGTCTTTCTGTTGGTTATAAATAGTATAAGAGAAATTGTTAGAGAGAATTATTGGCAATTTGTGAAAGAGAGGATGTGACTGATGGGTGTGTTAAATGGGTCTGATTTTCTAGTTGATGTGTCTGTAAACAAAAAAGGATTGAAGGCTATAAAAATTAGACATTGCCCTAGTAATATCCATATTATAATGAGTAATTTTGTTAAACTGTACTTCTGTGAGAGGCAGTAAATAAGTTACAGAATGGGCAAGGTCTAGGGAACAGATGTCACGATTGTCATTTAAGGGGGAGATTGAGGATTTATTTAAATATAAGAAATTAAAGCTTATGTAATATAAAAATTTGATTCATTAACTAAATTCTTTTGCTAAGTTCATTCATGTAAAATGATAATAAAATAGTTTGAATTAAATTCTGAATATAACTGTAAAAGACTGTGACAGGCACGCTTTAACATACCTGTAGCAAAAGAGTTAAACCTTCTCTGTAATTACGGTAAATGATGCTAGTCCTTCGTTTCAATGAAGTTATATAGTGCTAATTGAATAATGTAAACTAAGTGTATGCTGTTAAAAGTTTAATGTAACTAGAATGTTTGCTCCTATGCTCTTCAAAGTGAATGGTAAAACATTATTGTGAATATGTGAATCAAGCTATACCCTTTGTATAATTAATTTATAAAGCTGCCACATCCTTCATTTAAGTAATGCTGTACATTCCATGCAGTTAGAATTATGCTGCTATTAGTATCATGAAACAGAATCTGTACTATTCATATAACTGAAATGTCTTCTGTGACACCTTTCATATAACTAGAACAAATGAAACCTTTCATGTCAACATATGTGCATCTAGAGTGGACAGAACTATGCATTTCATACTGATGAAAATGCTAGTGTTTAAATAAACATCATTGTATTTTCTAAGGCCCTCTCATGATTCACAGAGGTCTCCATTACCTTAATTACTTCTATAGCTACCCCAATGTGCCAATTCTTTAATTGATTTGTCTATTGCCATTTCCAAAACTTAATTCAATTCAACTCTTTTTACAAGCAAACAGTTTTAATTTAGCTTCTCAGATTCGTTTATTCTTCCTATGTTTTTATTTGAATTATTTTCATTCTCCAATATTCTCTGATTCATATTCTTCCCATTGTTTATTGCCATTACCTAAACTTAGTTCAATTCAACTTTATTTTTTATTTCTCAGATTTGTATTTTCTTCTCATGTTTGTGTTGAAAAAAGAGTATTTGGCAGAAAACCTCCACATATTGTTCATTCAGTAAGTGAGAATTAGAAAAAAAAAAAAAAAATTCTATGGACCTTCAGGAAGCAGAATTATGGGGCTTAAGGAATATAGAGCAAAACTACAGGGCAAAAAAACTAGCCAAACTTTTTTTGGGTCAAATCTAGAAAATAATACTGAGGTGCACACCCTCAGAATCTCCATGATATGTGTGCAGAGTTTCAAGTCTCTATGTTCTTTCCTCTTTGAGCTATGGTGGTCACACACACACACACACACACACACACACATATGCAGTCTCTGTTATTATATATATATCAATATATACATAGAGGTTGTGTATATTATATTAAAATGATTTTGAATATGCAAATCAGCAAATTGCACAACAGCAACAGCCAATATAATGTTGTGGTGGGAAAGAATGTATCAGAACTACATTTTGATACTTTGATATTTGTGGATAGCATGTCATTGAAAATTAATACCTTTTGGAAATGATATGTAGCAGTCCCTTCCAACTGAAAATATGCACACACTTGGGTCATAAAGATCTGCTCAGATTGAAAATTATTTCCAAGATCAAAAAATCCCCTATAGTTAATGACATTGGAAAACAGAGGAATATGGTACAGCTTAGGGCACCAGGACCATTACTGAAAGAGACCTACAACAAGTTATACCCCAACTGTTGTAAGAAGAGTGTGGTATCTTGTCAGGTGAGAACTTATGAACACAAAGGGCAGTGGCAAAAGCTACCCACTTGCCCCATAAGTCATGTGTACACAAGTTGCATATAGAAGATATCTGTTCAGCAGTTACATACCTGAAGTAGCCAAATAATGAAACATTTATTCTTGCTATTCCATCTGAAGACATACAGATGCAGTGCTTACAGAGTTATGTGGGATTAGAATGTTGAAAGGAGTGCTTGGAAACCATTGTTCTCATACACTGGATGGATTAAGGAAATTCTGCTGGGAGGAGTGTTCTCCTTGAACATGGTGATCTTTTGACACAGCCTTTTGCAATGGATACTGTGCTACAGAGTTGTTGTGAAGGTACACAGTCATCTTATAAAGCATGAACAAATGTGATGACAGTAATTTTAACAGTGTGGTAAGGCTCAACAACTGTTTTAATATAATGTACTCTTCACTCTAAATGAGCGCAGGCAGTCAGGCTTAGATTTAACTCTCTTTGAGACAGCTTGACTGGGCAATGTCTCAACTTTTATTTTTTAAAAAGTGGGTTCCTTGTTATAAATTTTCCTTATTCATAAATTTGCTTGAAAAAGTCTCTTGTCTGAAATAGAGGTGTTAGAAGTGGTTGTTATTTTCCAAATAAAAGGCTGGTTTCTAAGGAAGAATGTTTAAAATTTTTTCTCATCTGAATCAATCAAGAAGCTGCAATTGGATGAAGGAAATTATATTATTATTAAATTATTATTATTATCATTAATTGAGGCAAAAATGTACACAGAATATGTACCTAATAACCTGGATTTTTTTTTGTTTGTATAGAATGTCTACACCACAATCAACCGTATCCTCACGGCAGCTTCCAGGTTGATTGATTCTGGTCATTATGCCAGTAGTGCTATTCAACAAACTGCAGGACGACTAGACCGAACATGGAAGCAGTTTGCTGCTGGACTAGATGAGAGAACAACTGTCTTATCTCTGTCAGTATTGTTTCACCAGAAGGCAGAACAGGTAAAGCAAATTGAAAACTTTCATTATAAGTCAGAGGGTTTAATAGTAAGTGTGTTGGTTGAAATGACTGTACAGATTTACATTGTGTTGGTTTACATCACTGTAAAAGCAGATGTATTGGTTGACATGACTGTACAAGTGAATGTGTTGGTTGACATGATATGAAATAGAATGTGTGTTAATATAACTAAACGAATGAATTGGTGTGCTGGTAAAATTATTCAAATACATGTTTGTACTGATATGACTATGGAAGTGAATGGGTGTGCTGGTATGACTATGCAGGTTAATATTTGTGCTGGCATGACTTCAAGTATATATTTGTATTAGTATGACTATGCTAGTGAATGATTATGCTGGTTTATGACTATTCAAATGATTGTGTACTGATATGACTATGCAAGGGAGTGGATGTGATGGTATGACCTATACAGGTGATTGTGTGCTGATTTGAATGTACGTGTATTGGCTGATATCACTAGACGAGTAATTGTGTGTATGTTTGTTTAACCCCTCATTGTCTGGTGGCATATTTTTGCTATTTCTGCATTTGCATTCATAAAAGTTAAAAATTGAGAAATGAAATTATATCAGAAACACATACACTTTAAATATAGAACATTATATTCTTGATTGTTTTTGAGCCTCAGTTAGATTTTGTTCAGATAAATTAAAAAATTTCAGTGAAATAAAACCCATTATGTGACGTAACTTTTATGTACAGTTATGTAACATTTCTGTAAACATTAGCCTAATAGCAAGGTTTCACATATGTTTATTAGCAAAATACAATCATATGCCTAATTTCCTCACGTGCTGACCCTCCGTGTTGAAGGCAATTTTACCATAAAAGTTATGTATGTCATTAAAACTAATATAGGTAAATAATATATAGTATTGTCTCTCTATATCTTATTTTTATGAAAATTACTCGTAATCCTTTCAGAAATTATGTATACCTATTTTTAAAAAGACCCCTCCTACATCTGTAAAAACATGCTGAGGCAAAATCCACTATAAGAACCATTAGTTTAATTACAAGTGTGATTTTTTTTTTTATAGCAGAAAGGAACTGTAAAAGTAGTTACTTCATCAAAGTAAACAAGCAAAGGAACCAGTATATACTTTATTTGTTAACTTTACAATATAAAAATAGAAAATCATTAACATGAACTGCATCTGAAACTTATAACTATACGAGGAAGAAAGGAAACTCTGTGGCAAATAGATTGCAAGGAAGAGAACAATCCCAGGTTTAAACAATATTTTTATGATTTTGTTAGTTTTAAAGCTTGGAAGCTGTAAAACAAATTATGCAGTGAGCTCAGTTTTCCAAAAATCACAGATTGGCAACTTTGTTTTGTTTGTGGACAAGTTTTATCTGCTCAATTTCGAGGTTTGAATATTTCTATTCTCCACACAAGAATTACATTTGGGCATGGATAGTGTATGTTCATGCATAAACATCGTTTTATAATTAAGTATATACAGATGCTTCTGAACAAGTGTATGTGTATTTGATGATTCAGTTGTTAAAAATTAACTGGGGTGGGTGTATGTGTTCATTTTGCTGGAAAAAGTGTGTGTCCAAGTGGATTTATGTTGATATTTATTTAGTAGTGGGTGCGTGTGCATGTAGGTATAATCTATTTATTAAACTGTTGTAATAGTGGATGAATATATAGTATTATAATTGTGTGTAGATGTGGCTGTAGAAGTGTATATGTGCACTGACATGGTTAAAAATAGTTTATCTTCAGGTGGTTTCCAAAGTGGACATACGTATTGACAGCACAAATAAAAGTTCGTAAACTTGATTGCATAAATGAAAGTGTCCTTGTTGAAAAATAGAACTTTATGAAATAGTGCATATTTTTAATAAATTTGTATTACCAATGAATATGAATGTTGATAAACATAGCTACATAATTTTTGTTAACAACATTGTGCAATTTTACATTTGTTTTGGCTTTACAAGTAAATATGTTTGTAAATATTGTTCTACATTTTAACATCGTTCTAGCTTAGCTTAGAAAAAAAAAGACTTGTATCCTGGTATGCATTTACTGGACATGTTCTTTTCTTTGAAAGAAGATACGGTTGATGGAAAAGTGTGCAAGTGAAAATTTAAACCTAAAAAAATAAATTGCATACTGTTTCAGTCAGTAATGGTTACTGAAAGCTACGAAAGTTTACCTTTCAGATTTTTTACGAGTTAATGGTGTGATGATTCTTGTTGATTATACAGCATTATTCTGTTCTATAATAGTCAGTAACACTTTTGTTTAGTATTTAAACAGTGTCCCCTCTTGGACCAAGAACTGTCAGTTAATCAGTGTTCCAAGAGAAGTGTCAGAGCTGGAAGACCTTATTCATCAACATCAAAACTTTTATGAAGAAATGTGCCAGGCTTATACAGAAGTAAGTATATTTTTTACACGAGTCTACTAAGTTGTGTTGTCTTGTGAAATATATTCCTTCTCCTCTTTTCACAAAGTAGCAGTTTTGGTGCTTTACATGCTAGGTAATAACCTTTTCTTTGATGAAAAATTTTCAACACAAATTTCTCTTAGGTTAACTAGATCTCTCAAGTTAGAAGCTTCTTGTTAAGAATCTTGCTACAGGTATGACCTTTTAGAGAGTTACATTCAAAATTTAATTAAACTACTTTATTATAATTGTATAAGAATGAATTTGGCATCAAAACATAGTTAATGAACTAAATTTTAATATTATACAAGTTTTAAGTTCTTGTTTTTATAAGGAAATATTTTTAAAAAATCCTCAATCTCCCCTGGTATGAGAATTGATGTTTGTTCTATAGGTCTTCCCTCTTCTCTAATTTATTTACAACCCCTCTGAGAAGTATAGAATTCACCGTACATTACCAATTATAATATACATATTACTAAAGCAAAACATAATTGTTATAGCCTTCAATCTTATTTGTTTATGGAATCATAAACTAGAAAATAAAATCCTCTTGCCTCATCCACCTGTCACATCCTCTTTCACAAATTGCCAATAGCTCTCTCTAACTTTTTATACTATATTATTTAAAAGTAACAGAAAGCTGAGGTTTTATTCTTCAAATGAAGTATATATACACCTGGAAAAAAGTTAAGCACCCCCGTGTTTTTTTCAAGTGATTCAGATTCGACATTCTTGTG